TGTAGCAAACTTGAAATAAAAGATACCAGATGTTGATCTATTACAAAATAATCCAAATTTCTCAGTATCACATTGTTCAGATAAAGCCACTGTTTCCCAATACTGTTTCTTCAATTATTGATGAAGATATTGTGATTAAAGATGATTAAAATTTTTCTCTCTCTTTCTCTCTCTCTCTTTCACTATCTCCTTTTGCAGTTGAACAACTCAACATTTACAAAATGCCTTTCATGTGGAAACCACTGAGAATGACGTCATGGATGAGACATACCCCGAGTGAGTGTGAGCACTCAATGTGAAGAAAAAGCTCCTTCATCCACTAGCATCATGACGCTGGATAAGACACAACTAAAAGTCCTCTGATCTCTGTGCAGTGATTCTTAGATTATTTGATAGCCAAACACAATTTTTCTATGATTCTCTTCAGTGCATTTCTTACCTCCTGATTTCTCAAGCTATAGATCAATGGGTTTAACATGGGAATCACCACCACATAAAACACAGAGGCAAATTTATCTGTGTTCAGATAATGGCTTGATTTGGGCTGAAGGTACATAAAAATGACTGTCCCATAAAATATTGTGATAGAGGTCAGATGGGAAGCACAGGTAGAAAACCCTTTCTGTCTTCCTTCAGCAGAATGTATCCTTAGGATGGCAAAGAGGATGAAGACATAAGAAATGATCACAATCACTAAAGAACAAAGGGTATTGAACCCAGCAATGATTAACAACATTAGCTCTTTGACACGAGTGTCAGAACAGGCCAAAGCAACTAGAGGAACATCGTCACAGTAGAAGTGGTTGACCACATTGGAGTCACAAAAAGACAAATGGAATGTAGCCACTGCCTGTACAAGACCCACAGTGAATCCATAAACATAGGAGCTAACAACTATTTGAATACAGAGTTTCCTAGGCATGAGAATAGCATAAAGTAAAGGGTTACAGATGGCAACATACCGATCATATGCCATGATTGTAAGCAAGTATTGTTCACAGACAACAAATGTGATGAAACAGCATAACTGAATGGCACATGCATAGAATGTTATACTTTTATCGTCACACAGAAAATTTGCCAAGGTGTTGGGGGTGACAGATGAAGTAAAAGAAAAATCAACAAAAGCCAAATGGCTGAGAAAAAAATACATGGGTGTGTTAAGTTGAGGACTGATTTGAATTAGCCCAATCAAACCAAGATTAATAAAACCAAAAAGAGTCCAATATATCTTGATGTAAATGCTGTGAAAAGCCAACAATATTAACATTAATTAAGTATTGTTAGTGTATTTTGTATGATCTCTTAGTCCCAGTAGAATACTTTCTTTCATTACATCATTTTAAACAAAAATATAATGATGGTTCACAAGCATGAGAAATTATATTATGATTGATCTTTTGGGACCTAATTTGCTTAATAGGAAAAAAAAAATGACCACTGGGCTGAAGATATCTGTGTTGGGAAATAATGATGTTTGATTCTCTGAAAAACCCAAATCAGCATCACAGCATAGACCTTGCAACAAAGTTAGGCCTTCTGATGAAGAAATAAAGTAGTTTTTCATATTCCTTTGGACTCTAGTAAAAATGAAGTGCCAGACGAAGAGATACCAACTAAAAATGTAGATCAGCTGTCTATCCTGTGCTGTGTATAATAGAATCCACCAGCCTATAGTTGGGGGTTTGCATAATGGCAATCAATGTAAATGGAAGTGATTCATTTACAACTTGCCTAAATTAGGTCAAGATGGTATTAACAAATTATATGAACACATAGTCCAGACTTTTATATCACCTGTCTCTGCTGCACAGGCTCCTTTTTGTCAATTCACACCGTGGTTTCATGGGTTTGAGCTTTCAACTGAGGAGTTCCCAAGAAAATTTTGGCCTAGTACAAAGACAGGCCATTATTTTATGTAGAAAATAGTGAGAAATGAATCTGTGCCTCATTATAGTCTCACTAAGAGGTGGCCCTGAAGAATAATGAGGAAACCAAATTGTCCCAGTGGGTAGAACATTTGGCTTTCCATTCCACATGAAGGAAATGTGGCCTGCATAAAGTGCTGTGTCCTGATTCATAAACAGTGATCAGTAATGTGGGACAGTAGGATAGAGAACTGGGGTGGCAAGTCTGAAAGAACATGGCATCTGGGGATGAGTGGACACAAAACACCTACTTCATTTTTAACTACTGTAGAGTAGCTACAGCACTGGAGGTTTACAATAATTAGGAGGATTGGATGGCCTTTCCTGTAGATGGTGGTCATCTTCTCTACTCTCTAGCAACCCAAGGATTTGACACTATGAACAGAGGAATTGCAGTGTCAGGAATGAGACTAAATTTTTATCCAATAATACCAATTTCCATCTATTACTGCCAAAGTTGGGTGTCCAATCTGTTAGAGGAAGAGATCCATGCAGAGTCCTAAATATAGCAACATGCTTTTGTAAAACTAGTTAGAAATATGGTGATAACTCAATTATATCAGACTCTTCAGTTTTGGGGGGAACAGTAATTTGTCCTTTCTGAAAAAAAAAGGTTGAATATGATTTGCCTTCCTCATATGCCATGTCCAAGGAAGTAACACCTTCCAATAGAATAAAGGATATCTTATTCCTTGGAATGGTAAACCACATGCTGTTGTTTCAGAAAAACAAATACATTTTCTAGCAACAAATGTTTGACATGACCTTGTCATAAAATGAATGGTCTTAATGTCAACCTTATCACCAGCAATCAGCTGGCTTGATAGAAAATTTGAATGGCATATTGAGAACTCAGCTAAGTCACCACTTCAGAAAAAGAAACTGCTAAGTCGAGAAACTATCTTTCATAATACACTGTATCTTCTGAACTAATGACATTTGGGTCACAGTATCTTCAATAGCATGAAATCATGAGTTTGGAAACTAAGAAGTAGTGGTAGAATTTCCCCTTCTTGCTATTATAACCTGTGACCCAATTTCTGAATTTGTGCTTCCTATTTTCACAATAGGCTCTGCTGGGTTATAGGTTTCAAAAGGACAAATATTTCCAGTGGGGCAAAATTTGGGTTTGAACAAACTGGAACCTGTGACTACCTTGTGCCAGTGGATCCAGAGGCAAGGAAGGAGTTAGAGTGCAGGCTGAGGTAATCAACTCTGATTGACATGGGGAGTTGGGGCACCAATGCACTATGGGGCCAGGACAAGTGTATATGGAATACAGTAATTCTCAGGCCATCTTTTAGAATTTCTATGCCCAGTGATAACTGTCAATGGGCAATGGCAAAAACTATAAATTAATAAGAATTTGCAATTAGGTTCTCAGTCACCATGTGAAATAAAGTTTGTGCGACTCCGTCCAAAAGCAGTCAGTCCCCCAGAGGTGCTGGCAGAACATGAGAGGAAACTGGAAAAGATAGTACTTGAATGATCATGTTAAAATGTTGAATGAAATCAATAGAGACATTTTCAATTGAAGAGTGAGGTGACGTTCTGCATTTTCAAACCAAAACATTTCAAACAAGCACCTTGTTAAGTTTTTTCCTAGCTCAGCTGTGGATGAAAACCTTACCTGGTATTTCCAGTATTATATGCAATAATAACTGTAGTTCATATCTTTTAGTATAACTTAAAATTCTCCATATCATAGTGAAATAATATAAAGTCATGATTACAAGGTGATTTATTCTTCTTTATTTATTGTTGAAACATCTCATGGTCAAAGAGAATAGATGATTTCTATATCTTTTAAAATTCAAAAATTAAACAAAAACGTTTGAACTCAGCTAAGTCACCACTTCAGAAAAAGAACCTGCTGAGTCGGGAGACTATCTTTCATAATACACTGTATCTTCTGAACTAATGACATTTGGGTCACAGTATCTTCAATAGCATGAAATCATGAGTTTGGAAACTAAGAAGTAGTGGTAGAATTTTCCCTTCTTGCTATTATAACCTGTGACCCAATTTCTGAATTTGTGCTTCCTATTTTCACAATAGGCTCTGCTGGGTTATAGGTTTCAAAAGGACAAATATTTCCACTGGGGTATAATTTGGGTTTGAACAAACTGGAACCTGTGACTACCTTGTGCCAGTGGATCCAGAGGCAAGGAAGGAGTTAGAGTGCAGGCTGAGGTAATCAGCTCTGATTGACCTGGGGAGTTGGGACACCAATGCACTATGGGGCCAGGACAAGTGTATATGGAATACAATAATCCTCAGGCCATCTTTTAGAATTTCTATGCCCAGTGATAACTGTCAATGGGCCATGGCAAAAAATATAAATTAATAAGAATTTGCAATTAGGTTCTCAGTCACCATGTGAAATAAAGTTTGTGCGACTCCATCCAGAAGCAGTCAGTCCCCCAGAGGTGCTGGCAGAACATGAGAGGAATCTGGAAGAGATAGTACTTGAATGATCATGTTAAAATCTTGAATGAAATCAATAGAGACATTTTCAATTGAAGAGTGAGGTGACGTTCTGCATTTTCAAACCAAAACATTTCAAACAAGCACCTTGTTAAGTTTTTTCCTAGCTCAGCTGTGGATGAAAACCTTACCTGGTATTTCCAGTATTATATGCAATAATAACTGTAGTTCATATCTTTTAGTATAACTTAAAATTCTCCATATCATAGTGAAATAATATAAAGTCATGATTACAAGGTGATTTATTCTTCTTTATTTATTGTTGAAACATCTCATGGTCAAAGAGAATAGATGATTTCTATATCTTTTAAAATTCAAAAATTAAACAAAAAAGAATAGATGGTTTCTATATCTTTTAAAATTCAAAAATTAAACAAAAACATTTATGAAATTCCTACTATGTTTAAGGCAAAGAAATGAAAGTATTTATTTTCAAGAAAACAGATATAAAAATATGAGCATAGAAGACAAGCAGACAAATCTCCTACACATACTATTGCATGTACTAGTGCACACGCCTTGATTCAAAACTTTCTAACTTCATGTCCAGCATTTCTTAGTAACAACAAAAATCACTGTTGATTACTAGTACACATCAATAACTGTTTTCATAACATTTTTGACCTGATTTCTCAAGCTATAGATAAATGGGTTTAGCATGGGCATCGCTACTGCATAGAATATTGAGGCAAATTTTTCTTTATCTAATGAATGGCTTGACTTAGGCTGTAGGTACATAAAACTGAGGGTCCCATAACACATAGTAATAGAAATCACATGAGAAGCACAGGTAGAAAAGGCTTTCTGCCTTTCTTCTGTAGAGGGGATCCTTAGGATGATGAAGATAATGAATACATAGGAGATGAGAACAATNCCAGATGGCTGAGGAAAAAATACATAGGTGTGTGAAGCTGAGGACTGATTTGGATTAGCACGATCAAACCAAGATTACCCATCACAGTAACTAAGTAAATCAGTAGGAATATACCAAACAGAATGGCTTGCAGCTCTGGATTATTTGTAAGTCCCAACAGGATGAACTCAGTCACTGATGAATAATTGCCTTTGGCCATGGAATAGATACAGGATTATTCTGCCACAAATGCCTCCAGAACATACGTTATGAATAGTCTTGACTCTGTAAGAAATAATCAATTAAATGTGAGAAGATGGCCTTGGCTAACCAGGGTGTTAGGCTAAATTCAATCAAATTAGAATTCTGATAAGTACTGTGAATTATACATGGATTTTTCTTATGCTTTCAGTGTGAAAGGGTTTGGTCCAGGTAGAAATTCTAAGATATAAATTTTACTAGAGAGTTGCAAGACAAGAAAGTATTTCAATTGAAATTTTATAATTAATACAATAGAAAAATTTGTGTTGTACTTTTTTTTTTGTCTTTTTTTTGAGACCGGCTGCAAAGTGCTCATCCAGTGAGCGGTGACCGGCCATCCCCATATAGGATCCGAACCCGCGGCGGGAGCGCTGCTGNCAGTAGAACTGGTTGACCACATTAGAGTCACAGAAAGACATGTGGAATGTAGCCACTGCTTGTATTAGTCCTATGGTGATTCCGTAAACATATGAGCCAGCGACCATTTGAATACATACTTTCCTGGGCATGAGAACTACATAAAGTAAAGGGTTGCAGATAGCGACATACCTATCATATGCCATGACAGAAAGCATTAGTAATTCCCAAACTGAAAATGTGATAAAGCAACACACTTGAGTGGCGCATGCATAAAATGGCATGCTTTTAATTTCACGAAAAGAGTTCACGAGGGTGTTAGGGGTAATGGCGGAAGTACCATAAGAATCAACAAAAGCCAGATGGCTGAGGAAAAAATACATAGGTGTGTGAAGCTGAGGACTGATTTGGATTAACCCAATCAAACCAATATTACCCATCACAGTAACTAAGTAAATCAGTAGGAATATACCAAAGAGAATGGCTTGCAGCTCTGGATTATTTGTAAGTCCCAACAGGATGAACTCAGTCATTGCTGAATAATTGCCTTTGGCCATGGAATAGATACAGGATTATTCTACCACAAACGCCTCCAGAACGCACGTTATGAATAATCTTGACTCTGTAAGAAATAATCAATTAAATGTGAGAAGATGGCCTTGGCTAGCCAGGATGTTATGCTAAATTCAATCAAATTAGAATTCTGATAAGTACTGTGAATTATACATGGATTTTTCTTATGCTTTCAGTGTGAAAGGGTTTGGTCCAGGTAGAAATTCTAAGATATAAACTCTACTAGAGAGTTGAAAGAGAAGAAAGTATTTCAATTGAAATTTTATAATTAATACGATAGAAAAATTTGTGTTGTACTTTAAAAAAAATAGAAGAAAAAACATTGCAATGTTAAGAAGGTGAGTACTTTAGACAGTATATGTCAAAATAATTTTTTAAATTGTGAATTTTTATCATAAAATACGTAAAGTTATACATTGGATGTATAACTTCACAGAGATAGTACAAATTACCAACATCAAATGAGAAAAATGTAGTATGAAAAGTCAAAATCAACATGTTAACATCATTTACCTTTAGGCATCCAGTTTGGTATACTATTAAAATTTTCTTTTTTTTTCTTTGATAGACATATCATATTGATAATGAGGAAAAATAGGATTATTAAATTTGTGGCTTTGTCTTTTTGGAAAAATACAAGCCAGTTAACATTTTACAGAGTATAAAACAGTTCTACAAAATTAAGAAACATTGATTATTTCCTACTTTCAAATATCTAAATGGTCCAAAGTATATAGGATTTGAGCAGTATTTAGAACAACTAAATTCTACAGAACATTTCCACAAACCCAACCCAGGTTCTGATTGCTTAAAAGCGGGCAGAATTTAAATCATTTCCCTCATTTCTTAAGCAGAACAGAGGATAAGTTAACTTGATTTTTTTTAATCACTGCATTGTTTCAGATTACTTCACATTTATAATACAGATTTTCAAGACAAATAAAATAAAAATATAAAAAACACCTCTCTAGTAAACTTTTGACTTCTATGTACTTAGAAACTTATCTTGGTTAATCCTTTACCTTTTCTCTCTCTTTTAATACTTCTCAACCAAATATCTTAGAGCAGGACTCAAGTCCCCTTTCTCAATTCATATTTTCTTTCAGTTCTATTTTTCCACAAACTTTATAAGTACCCTCATGTTTATAAGGTTACCGAATGTAATTCTCCTTTATTTGTCATTAATCCAA